GTTTTTTTGTGGCTCTGTTGGTTGATGTTGTTTGTGTTGATGGTTGTGGACTCACTGTTTTGCTCTCGGTTGTTGATGATTCTCGTGTTTTGTTCCTGTGCTCTGTGATCGTCCCCATGGCAGTGGCTTGGTGGGGGTATTTATACCCCCATCGGAGGCCTGTCGGTTCCGAAATAAGGGTGCTCGTGGTCGTTGTGGCCGGTCACCCCGGGATGGGTCAGTCCCGGGGATTTCGGCCGGTCGTTGGCACTGTTGACCGTTCATCTCCCTGGTTTTGCGACGTCGTTGAGACTGATATCATTCAGGGTTTCCAAACCCTAAACTTACCAGACTGGATCAGGCCCATATGTGTTTGGACTCTGACCGTGACTTGTTTGACTGGACAGTTGACCCATTTGGACCTGAAACGGGAAAAAATAAAATAAAATAAGTAATAAAAAATAATAATAAATAATGATAATAATAATAATAATAATAAATATAAAACTATATAATATACATTTTTAAAACTGTTATATAAATTTAAAAAAAACATTTTAAAAAATATATAATTTTCAAAAATGTTTTTTTTAAACCATATATTTTTTAAAAATGTTTTAAAAATTACATATTATATATGCTTTCAAAATGTTTTTTCAAAAAATTATATATTATATATTTATTTTCAAAACGTTTTAAAAACTATATAATATATATATATTCAAAAATGTTTTGAAAACTATATATTATATTTCTTTTCAAAAACGTTTTAAAACTATATAATATATAAATGTTTTTAAAATGTTTTAAAAATTATATATCATATATTTTCAAAATGTTTTCAAAATTATATAATATATAAATAAAAAAACAAATAAAAAAAATGGACGAAAATGAGTGTCTACAGTGAATAAAAATTTTCTAGCGCCGCCTAGGCACCGAGGACGTAAGCACATTGCCGAACCTCGTTAAAATTCTTATCTTCTTTCGTTTACTTTGCCCGATTTATCAACAATATATTTTAACGAAAGTGATGTCTTTGTCATAAGTGATGCATGGGAATAGTAAAATTAAACTAGTTTAGCATTTCAGGGATAGTTTCAATATTAAAAGGGATATATATATATATATATATATATATATATATATATAGGTAATTTATATGTGTAAATTTATTTATTATTAAGATAAAATAAAAATTACTATAAGATTATATTGAGTAAAATTCATTAAGTGATTCCAATTATAAAATAAAATGTTGTTTTCTTAGTTGAGTTTGAGTAGTTGTATTTTTATGGTAAGTATATTATCGATTGATTAAATAAATTTTAAACAGATACAAACTTATAATCATCTAGATTATTATGAAAAAAAGTTGTATTAAATATGATAAAAAACGAAATTAGTTTGATGTTGAATTAGTGTTGAATAATAAGTAACTAATTATTAAAACAAACTAATAAACAATACATATCATTCGTCACAAAAAGGTTCCTGCTTAGTAGGCATCGATTGAAGATTATTTCATTACCATTTTTAAAGATAACATATCTAATTATTAAATAATAGAATTCAACTCATGTATCTGTCTGTTTGATGTCAGTTTTGGCATGTGGTTAATGAATCAATGAATATTTCCCGACTGAAGATGAGTAAGATGATGACTTGATAACTGCAATTGAAATTTGAAGTCCAAGTCTGTCTCAAGAACCAACGTATTTTGGACAACTAACTAATAACTATACGAACTGACGGTTATCGTTTCCAGTCGTAATGTATTACTCTTGAAAAGTAATATTTGGTTCCCTAACCAGTGTTTATTTGTATTGTTCACCGGCTGAGTCCAACAGACGCAATTGGATTTTTTTTTCTATTCTAACTTGGGCCCGCATCTAGTTCGGTTCGATTAAAAAATCCAAATTCACTGTTTTATCTTTTACTGATAAATAAGAAGTTTTAATTAATTAATTATAATTTTAGTCGCTCTAAAATCAAACCAGAGGAAAGCAATAAGAGACGGCATGTCTGATCTCTCGGTGTAGATTTTTTACGGGCAAAGTACACAAATAGTCCCCGACTATATGATATTGTTTTGTTGAGTCCTTCGACTACTAAAAGTTATAAAATGGTCATCTGACTATATGATGATGCTTTGTTGAGTCTCTAGAACTAAAAATTACAAAATGATCACCCGACTATTCATATATTTCAAACTCGTCATTTTCTGTTAAAAAAATTGATAGTTGTCTAAGTTTGACGTTAACATGTTGACTGAGATATGATAAAATATGATATCAAAATCGTTTGAATTGTATAGTCGTTTAAGATTATGGGGTCAGATGTTATCATATCCCGGTCAGCAGGTTAACTTTTAGCTCAGACGACCTTTAATTTTTTAACATAAAAGGACAAGTTTGAAACATATGAATAATCGGATGATAATTTTATAACTTTTAATAGTCAAGAGGCTTAACAAAGCAACAACATATAATCAAGGGATCATTTTGTAACTTTTAATAATCAAGGGACTCAACAAAGTAGTGTCATATAGTTAGGAAACCATTTGAGTTCTTCACCCATTTTTTATTTAGATAAACTATACGTTTAGGATAAATTATAAGTTTAATATCTAAAATATTAATTTTGTTCTGTTTTAGTATCTAAATTTTATTTTCTTCAAAAATCATATATAACATTTATTTATATTTCATTTTGGTACCCTGTTGTTAAAAACTTAACAGAACTGCTAACATGTCGTTTTTCGGGTTTATTTCAATGATGAAAGTTGCATTATCTTATGGTGTGACATATCAACATTATCATAAAGTTTTTAATAGCGAAATACCAAAATGAAACTTAAACTAAACGTTAGATACATTTAAAAAATAAAATAAAATTTAGATACCAAAACATTTGAATAAAAGTAATAGTTTAAGTTCTAAATGTGTAGTTTAGCCTTTTTATTTTTATGATTACGAGTTTATATATCATTAAATTTAGATCATTCATCTGGAATGATTATTCACAAATTGATGAGATAGTATGATAAGTGTAATATTTTTATGATTAAAATATGATATAAATTAATATGTTTATAAAAAATCATCAGAATTGTCATTTTAGTAAGAGTTAATTGCATCATATGTCCTCAAACTATGATCCTCATTTTAAAATAGTCTATAAACTTTTAAATATTTTAATTTTATCCTCAATTTATGACTCTTGTTCTAAATTAGTCCTTAAACTTTTGAACATTTCAATTTCATCCCTAAACTATGTTTCTCTTTGTAATTGGTTCCCAAACTTTTGAATATTCCAATTTCATCCCCAAATTCATCCATATATGTAATTAGTTTCAGCCATAGTTTAACCTAAATTTTGTTTTTTCAAACATATAATAATATAACTTGGCCTAACGATTTTATTAACAATGGATGTGATTAGTATGTACAAATAGTTTGGGATGACATTGTAATGTTCAAAAAGTTTAGGGATCCATTTGGAATGAAAGTCATGGTTTGGGGATGAAATTGAAATGTTCAAAAGTTTGAGGACTAATTTAGAATCATAGTCATAGTTTAGGAATGAAATTGAAACATTTATAAGTTTAAGGAACAATTTAAAATGAGTGTTATATTTTGAGGAAATGTGATGCAATTAACTCTTTTAATAACATATATTTATTATTATTTGAAGAAAAAATACGTTATTTTCCGTTGGGAAGCGCGAACGGGTATGGTGCAGCCATTGAACAATAGGCAGCTGAAGGGTGGAAAATGGGTGCATCATCCATGAGATCAGTCAAATGTATGAATCACGTAATTTGGTCAATGGCGGCCACGCCCACCGAAAATGACTTGCCACTCCTCCAGATTCATTCATTGTCGCAAAGACCAATCCTGATTACTACAATTATTACTTGTCTTAAACACAACTTACCGATTGCAGCCATGTTTTGCGTTGCTTATAACTGACAACATTAATTTAAGCAAGGCTGTTTCTCTCTTGCTAATTAACCAACAAACCAAAATAAATGTAGAAAATTCAAGAAGAATAATAAGAAGAAAGGAATAAAAGCTGGTGGAAAAGGAAAAATAAAATCCATAATTAATGTATTTATATGTTGGATTTTTCAAATTATAATTATGTTTAGTTTTAAAATTTAGGAAAAGGGGTGTGTTTGGAAATGGATAATGATCACATAAGATAAAGTTTAATGATCTTATCTAAAGTGTTTTTTACATTGAAACAAAAACTCTTATTTGATTGATAACAGTATAATTTCCAGACAAATTAAATATCACATTCTTGTTTAACTAGAATGAACAAAAAGCCAAACAAATGAAATTAACTCAATTTGTAATATGGATTGATTCGAAAGCGTGCCAAGTCATCTTGGATAATGGTTCATGCTTCATCTTTTTTCTATTTTTCATTGTAAATGCATAACTCTTCAAATTAATCATCGGTATTTTATTATTTGATAGATTAATTAGAATTAAATATAGTAAAAAATTATTACGAGATAACTTTTTTAATTTAATTTAATTTATTTATAATATTAAAATTAAAATTCTTATTTTTAACTAAAAAATATAATACTTTTTCGTATTAGACCAGTTGATTATTTGATCAATATATAAATTTTTTGTTCAATATATATCTTTCATTCGTTTTTTTATCTAAGAATTAAAGATAAACATCAAAAACACTATATTAATCAACTTTTTTTAAAAAAAAATTAAAAGTCAAGCAAGCACGATAAAATCTCATATATTCGATTGAGTTGGATACAGTTGTATTTTCCACAAACTTTATCTCATACGCCAGTTAAAGGTTGTAAGAAGAACTGACCTCAATCCAGATAAAACGAACAAGTTCTATATAGATAAGCTTGAAGTTTGGAGAGTGTAAACAGATCATGTGTGATTAAGAAAGTTTAAAAATATGTTCAGTTAAATAAACATAAAAAATACTTCGAAGAACTATTTAGAGTGTAATCAACATTCCATATCAATTGTTTATTTTCAGGCTGGCCTTGTTAGCTAGTAAAGTCGCATAAACCAAACATGTTTATCTACAACCCAATATATGTACTACTGACAAACGATATCTTGAATATGAAGTAAAAATAAAAGAACGGACACCTACGTAAGTATGGGCCGACAAACAATCTTAGGCTCCCTTGACTACATCAATTCTAGAAGGAGCAAGCCCATGTCTTTGTGTTCCCATGGCAACTAGGCCCATCCTCATCCTCCACCCAATCATCTGCCACAATTTTTTGCTGATAATATCGCAGGGCCACAAACAGCATGAACGCTGCACAATTAAACAAAAAGCTATCAATTAAAACAGTTTTGCTAACAACATTTGTTGAAAAGTGAAGGTTTTCTTCTCTTCTTTTTACCTGCCCAAATTCGAGCCACGACGGAACATAGGTTCCAAACCAGAGTGAAGATGGCCATCGCCACGGCTTTCTTGTGTGTGCACGACTCCCACGCATCTCGAAACCTTCTAATCCAAAATTTCCCTTCACATTTCAAGCTTTGGGTTAAAAACTAGGCATAATACTAGAAAATACAATTAATGTTTGATTAAATTGTCATTTGAATCTATATATATATATTGAGAATTTTGATTGTAACGTTGAGTAAATAGTCATTTTAGTATATATTCTTATTTTTTTGAAACATTTTGACCCCAAATATTTTTTTAAGTAAACAAATCTATAATTTATAGCATTTACCTTTTGTTAACTGATTATTTTTATCTATAGAAATATCTTATTTTATCGTAAAATAAAATGTTAAGGATTAAAAATAAAACGTGAAAGATTAATGTTTGATTAAACATTAAAAATAACTTTAAAAAATATTTTTTTCCAGACTTTATGAAAAGGGGATGATAAAGGTAATGATGGGATCATGCTGGGCTACTTTAGGACCCATGAAATCTAAATCCATGGGGACATCAACAGATCAACCGCACAAACAAAATGAGCCGTTTAAAATCAATCATACGAACAAGATGTAAAGATAATGTCAGATGTGGTAGTGTGAGGGCATCGCATTAATATTTTGTTAACGGTAGAAGGAACTGTACAAAAACAAGTTATTGTGGGGGATGGGATTTTTACCGTAGGCAGTTAATTGCTGGGAATAAGAAGAGCAGACTTTTGGAGCCGTGAAAACGCCAAAAAAACCTGAGGCAGTGAGCACAACCAAGTGTCAGTTGAAAAAAAAGAAGGAAGCTTTCATATTTCATTCACTGTAAGAATTTAACAGTTCGTGTCTTTACTCTTTAGGCTCAGGGCGGTAAAAAAGTTGAGACATTTATTGTAAAAGCCAACAGTGTATTCTCTGGGTAAAACCACACAACCCTTGTTTTATGTAATTTGTTAAAATGTAAGGTAAAGTATATGGTTTTTAACCAAATAAACTTACCCAGTTTGGTCATTTTCCAGATGGTTATAGAGCTGCCACACCTGGCCAAAACAAACAGAAGCACTGCCAACTGCACATTGTACCAATTGATCAACTTCTCTTTTTTTTTTTAAAAAAAAATTAAAATAAAAACAAATGGTTGGAAATTTATGACCTTCATGGTTGTTGCAGGATCACCAGAAAAGAGTGCTCTCAGCTTTATTAGGAACTCATTCAAGTAAGGAAGGACCAATTTAAGTACCCCATAGACTTCTTCTTCTCCAACCACATAGCTTGATTCATCTGTATCCACAATTCCCCTGCAATGTCAGAGAAACAAAACACAAGGTTACCAAAAATGGTGTAAATTTCAGTTACAACACAGTTAATGGCATATGATGAAAGGCTTTTTACCTGCAGATTACTGATCTGTAAAAGAATATGACAGCTAGGTAAACAAGACACATATAGGAAATTGCAGAAATACAGCTGCAGAAGGCATTGATAAACACACAGTTTCAGTATTTTAGATAAAAAATGAAAAAAAAGTGGGTAAATTTCCAAATTTGAAACTTGTGTTTTAGTGACAGTTTAGAGACCTGATGTGGAGGTCTTGGGTGTAAGAAGAGGAGATAATGATAAATGTTCCCATCCCAAACACCAATGTTGATTTCGATACATCTCTCCACATTACTAAATCAACTGAAAGATTAACACAGAAAGACGAGAAGAATTAAACAAGTTGTGGACAGGAAACTCGTTCATCTTTGCAGGAAATGAAGTGACTTCCCACCTAGATTCTGCAATTTGTTCTGAGTTTGCGGGAAGCTTTGGTAATGATAGTCATCTGAGGCTGAAAATGAAGGATATAACAATATGGTCAGAAACATTCAGAGAGGTAAACAATATTCATCTCAGTAAGTAAAGCATCAAATAGATACAAATACTTACAAGGAGTGGATTTTGCAACTTTTGTAGGAGTTGTGTAAAGTGGTGTGGCACGTTTTACAACTGGTGTAGACTGTTTATTCACTACTGAAGAAAATGGTGCAGTTCTTTTATGGAATTGACTAATTTTCTTCACTTCATTTACAGCTTTTTCAGGTTTTGTTTCTGGTAATTTCTTCGCCTCATCAGCCACTTTGTCAGGCTTCTTCTCTTGTACATTCATTTCCTTGATGTCATCAAAACTCTTCTTTTCATTCCCAACAACCTCAATTTCCTCCTCTTCTTCTTCTGCAGAAGATTCTTCATCATCTTCAACACCATCATCATCATCAACTGATACATCTGGAGACGATGATCCTACTAACTCCCCATTGCTTGTACCGCTTGTAATGACATTTTCTTGGCACACACCAAACTCTTTACAATTCTCCTCAGACTCAGATCCATTCTTCTCATTTTCTTCGATGGAAACATTATTTCCCCCCTTTTGGTCATCCAAAACCAAAACTTTTCCATTCCCTTCATTTATCTTCCCTTTACTTGCGGACTGATCTGATTCTGCCTTCCTTAATTGAACTGAATTCCCCTCTATTCTCTCACCAGCTTCATTTCCATCTTTGCTCAGCTCAGCAGACTTTTTGGGGACTTCAGATCTTGGCTTCTTCATATGAATTGGGCTTCTCTCAATTCCATCAACAGACTTACTTAGCTCCCTCGTCCCTTCAGATCTTCCTTTCTTGACCTGAACAGGATTTTTCTTATTAATCCCATCAACAGACAAGCTCAAGTATTTGCAATGCTCCAGAGATCTCCCTTCAGCAACCTGATTTTGGGTTTTGTTGCCTTTGGCAACCTGATTTGGGTTCTTCTCTAACCCTTCAAAGCTTTCATTTTTCCAAGTCTTCCTCTTGCCCACACCGCCGCCAACGGTTTGGCCTTTCTTCAAGCTCAATCTTTTACTACCAGTACCACCAGCATTGCCATTTTCTTGAGTAATGTTGCCGTTTTCTACACCATTGAAAACCTTAATTCCACCTTTAACTCCATCATTCTTCATTCTAGTTTCCCACACTGACCCTGCAACAACAACACTGCTATTAGCTTCTCCTCTTCTAAAGCTCAAATCCATCTTTACCTCTCTCTCTAATTTATCTAGCGTTGTTTAAGCCTTAATCACTGTAATTGAGTACTAGTGCGACATGGATGTCAATAATTGGATAACGGGAGTCTTTAAGATGAAGCAATGGAGGTTGGTGGGATGCGACGTTATCTTCCCCTTTGAAATAGCATTGCAAAGGAAGCGGAATCGGTTTCTTTACTTTATTTTTGCTTTCTCTCTCTCTTATTTTGGTTTCTTTACTTTTCTTTTAATGAGGAGTTCGGGTGTTCATGGGAAGTCTGAGATAGTGGGGCTATATGATTAGGGGGTTATTAAAGTTCTCTCTTTTCCTCTTTATTTTATTTTTCTATGTGAGAGGGATATCTGAGAAACTGAGAATTCAATGTATGCAACCAATTGAACTTATTTTTATGCTCACAAAACCAGAGTTACGTAGAGAAAAAAAAACAAGTAAAAACAAAGATTGTTCATGCAAGCAGATTGTTCATACAAAGATTGTCACTGTTAGGCCATGTTTTGGTTTGGTGGACTGGTTAGTGTTGATTATATTTAGATGTTTGGTGAGCATGTACGTGGCTACCTAAGAAGCAATTGTACCTTTATTATTTGAGAAAAAAATATAAAATTTAGTTTAATTTGTTAATGAAAAAAAGAAAAAAAAGGAAATTGTATATTTCAATTAGAATAAAATATTAAAATTTTAAATTATTTTTCAATTTCTAGATTGGTTAAGCTTTCAGTAAATCTTTTAATTTCATATTAATTATATTATTATTATTTAAAGTTACAAGAGGATGGAAAGTCTTCTGAAATTGAACGGAGGAGCAACTAAAATATGGAGTCAATTTCTTGGGATTCCAATTTGTGGATTTTGGAGTAATAATAATTTAAGCAGTGATAGAGTAGACCCGACCCGATATTTTGTTCTTTAATCTAAGATTCGTTGGGTCTACTGTACCGGATCCATAACCCAACCTTCGCAGGTATAAAATCTAAAACGTGTAGGGTTGGGATGCTGTCCCAATTATTGTCCGTTGAAGGCACGTGACTCTGCTGACCCCAGCACGTTAATTTATATAATAACATATGGGTAAAGTTCAAATATGGTAATAAATTATTTCAAAATAATTTTTTAGACACTAAATTTACAAATATTGTAAACTGAACATTAAATTTTAGATTCTATTATAAAATGGGCATTGTGCCATTATTACCCTTAATTAGGATCACATGACACATTAAAAATTAATAGGTAATATCTTAATTGGCCCTCAATTATAACTAAAATTTTGGAGTAAAAACAAAATTTTAATGCTCATTTTAATATGTCAAATGAAATGCTATACACTAATTTTAATATGCCACTTCACTTCAGATAAAGACAGTGGTGACATGGTGTCCATTTTATAATAAAAACAAAAGTTTAATGTTCATTTTATAACTTTTAAAAGTTTAATACCTAAAAGGATTATTTTTAAGATACCTTAGTGACTTTTTGAACTTTACCCATTAAGTATTTAAAATTGATGGACATTGACCAACCAGCGTCAACTATTGCCAACATCTTGGTATTGCAAAATTAATAAACTATCTACTATTTATAACAATAAAGTTGGTTTAGTTAAGAACACCAATCTTACTTTATCTTCCAAAAATTTCATCAAATTCTGATATTGGGATTAATGCTAGTAGCTTTGGGAACGGTCATTGTTAAATTTGTAGGTCAAAATGCATGTATTGAAATTGTATTCACACGCATTACGAGCAAAAATATGCATTACAGAGTGCATAGCAATGTTCGTTTGACCCAACTTCATTTGGGTAAGTGATATCTATATCCAAGGATGGACTCAAGCATTATCCGGGACGATCGTATCTGAAAATTTTAAATTTATATATATAATTTAAATATTTTTTATTAATAATTTATTTTCACTTTTAAAATTGGTTAAATTCATCTCTTCTTTGTATCTATATCTATGAGAAGTGGGTATGCTGGCGAGTATATGTGATTTGAAGTGGTACAGCCTTCACATCAGGAAATAAAATCATGGAAAGTGATCAAATTTCATTAAAAAGACTGAAGTCAGAGAAGCTACGGTGGTTGCAGTAACACCAGCTTCAGCAGACAGTCCCTGACTTCCAAGTACAGAAAACAGTTAGAAGAAAACATATGGCTTCAGGCAAATTGAAGAACCAATCCCTGATAATGTTACATCAAATGATGTTATATAGACAGCCTTCTGAAACATGTTATTTTTATATGCTTGCTTCATCATGCATCCAATTATTTCATACACTGTAGTTATGCTGGTTCTTAACTACCACCGAATCATACTTCTTTTATTAGTTATGCTTGTTCTTTAATGAAATGTTGTTGGCTACCTGAAATTATTGCTTGGCGGTTGAGAGTTTGACACATCTTTCATCCCCGATGGAATTATCTTTATCGCCGATTTTGGCCATGGATGTGCATAGCTCAGTGGTATGTAGCCCATTTCCCCTTTTTTTTGAGAACTCTTAGTGCCCACATTTATCATTAGTGAGTTATAACACGTCCCAAACTATCTTCCCCTTAATTTGACATACAAATGCTCGCAGCATAAGTTGATCTGGCTCTTGGATGTGAAAAAAGTCCGGATCAAACCAAGTCAAAAAGGCAAAGATCAGTTTGGTTTGGCCAGAGTTTTCACGTTTAAGGCGATCGATCAACCTAAAAGTCATGAATCATAGGATAGATTAAGTTTTAGTATCATAAAAGAATTTGACAGATGAGTACTTTTCATAAAGTCGCATCACACACCTCCTAATGTACCCTTTCAAATCTTCAGACGAATGGATTTCAAACCAGGCTCAGATGAATGGAAACACTGGAGAGCTTAGATTGACCAAATGACCTGAATATTATATTTTAAGTTGCAGCAATGTAAACGTTGAAATTCCCCCATCATTTTTGGTTAGATTGACCAAATCTGTCAGTACTAGACCTAAAAACATCAATGATTGGCAGGGTGACACTGGTTACACCTGATAGTCGTTATGGCTGACGTTTGAGCTTTAGGTTTGCCAACCAACTGCAAACCTAAATCTTAGTTGCCACATTTTTATTCATTTACGTATACGAGAGAGAAAGGAGATTATATTCTCCTCTATGGGGCTATTTGAACTGGAATCTATCCCCAGTTTATCATTTAGTTGGATTTGGTTTAGCAGAAAAATGAGCCCCTTGAGATCAAAGTAGATTTGTGGAATCTGCAACTAAAGTTGTTAGCCACTTGCCCAACTTTATGCAAAGAACCAGTTCACGATTATGTCATATGCCATTCCAAATCAGAATAAGATAGTAAAGCAGTTGCAACTGCTCACATGTAATGAGGTCTTTTTTCCCCAGACCTGAAAACAATTGCAATGGAACTTTGATGACGGCTAGGTAAAAAGATGAAAAAGTGGTCTGTTCTAAAAAGAAAAAGAGGAAAAATAACAATATGCACAATCCAACACTTACTGCTGAACATTATTACATATGCAACTCCGGAAGGAAGTGAACTTTGATGTATGATTGTTGAACAACCAATTCCTCATTCATCCATAATGATTGAGCAAAACACTTTACAATCTCAGTTTTCATTTCTTTGAAACAGCAAGCAAACTCTGTACAACACAAGGCTTTTAATCTTTGCTAACCTATGATTTTGGTTTTAATTGTAAGTTCATCCTCTATGTTACTAGAAAAGGAAAGAATAAAAAAGACTGCTACATTGATCACACCAGGAGTTGAATCATATGACCGGCGGAGGTGGAGTTTCCCATACATCAAACACATTTTCCTCACTATGAAGTGCAAAGAGACGATCACCCCCGACCGAGAAATCACAGATGGAACCGCCGTAACTTCTTCGAAGCCTAGATGTTAGCACCCAATCAGGACCACAAAACACTGAGATGCAATCGTTCGTCGATGAAAACAACTGTCCATTATGCAATGCCAATTTGGGGTAGCAAGGCTCATCAGGCATTTCCCCCCTGAGCAACCTACTTCTGGAACTCCATCTCACGCCTCCTCCATTGATCCTTAAATCTATGAACCCCAAATCATCATACTCATTCACTACACAAATAGAATTACATTTCTCCATTGCAATGGCATCTCTAACTCTCTTCTCATCAACCGTCAACGGAGTACGGATATCAGACCAAGACCAAACCATTCTCTTCTCTCTGAAATCAAGTAAACTGATGTAACAGTTATCTTTTCTGGGAAACAATGTGGCAACTAATAAACAATTACTACCATTCAACCATTGTAGTTTATCAGCATCACCAAGAGACCAGCCAGGGCTCTCATAAAAGAAATCCATTTGTTTTACCAGTAACTTGGGTCCCAAACTCCAATCCCATACTCATTGCTTCTTCCTTTACAGCTTGCAAAAATCTTATAATCTGGACTGAAACTCAAAGCCCCAGCAGTGAAACTCTTGATTTGATTATCATGAACAACGTTAAACTTGTTTCTCAAATCTCCAGTTGATGAATTGAACAACCCCATCCCGCCATCTCCTTTCCCTAGCCTTCCGCAAGCACTTATCAATACATTCTCAGCGTTGACCCAACCTATGTCGTTGACTCTCTGGTAATCGAGATTGATTGGCGGGTGTTCTTCTAACATCCAGTCAAAAACATGAACCATGCTACCATGAGCTACGCAGCAGCCGCCGTCCGGACCGGCTCGGATGGCAGTTCCATCCCCTGGGGCTCGCCCTGTTACTGACCTTGATAGCCTTAACCTGTTACCATCAAAAGGACCCCATTTGGCCGAACGGACATGGTCAATTAAGCCGTAAAACACGGCTTCTCGGTAAAGAAGCCTTTCGGGGACATTGGAAGGAATGCAGAGATCGCCTGTTCGGAGGAGATCGAGGAGGACAGCGAAACAGTCGGGGTTTCGATCGATAAAGTATTCTTGGCGGCCGTTTGGTTGTTGTTGTAGTAAGTCCCAATTGTCATCAAATAATGCACCGAAAAAAGAATCCCTGCCTGCGTTTGCGAGTGTTGTAGCCGTCGTTTGAAAGATTCTGCCTCCTACGTTGAATTTGACTATGTCTTTTTGGATTCCCATGACTCGATTTTTTCTCAAAAACTAAAGAATCCTGGATTGAAAAAAAGGGGAAATTTTGGATTTTGATATCAAAATTTAGCGTTTGGCAAAAAAAAAAAAACACCCCAAGGCAGAGATAATTTAAGATGGATGAAAAGAGCAGTCGAAGATGGGAGTGAAACTAATAATAAAGAAAGATGGATGAAAAGCACTGTTTTTAAGCTATAAGAGGGATACCCTGGTTGAACAAGAACAGGGGAAATGAACTAAATGTTTCAAACTGAATCAAATTGAAGAAAACTGAGATCTGGGTATTGGAAAGTCAAGAATTTCAAAGCTGGGTTTACAATTTCTTGGAATTTGGTGAAGTATAATTGAAAGAATTGGAGCGTCGAAATTTCAAATAAACAAAATTCTTCATTTTCTTTTTCTGCGAGTTCCGTCTCTGACATTGATCTCTACATGTTTTATCTCTCTTCTTTAGCTACTTCTCGAGTCTTCTGGTTCAACCTTCATGCGTATTAAAGTAGTAGTCCCAAAAGGGGTCCAGTTTTTAGCTTTTGCTTCCTCCCCATGTTTCCACCGTTGATCCCTCAAAATATCAATATCTAAAAGGAATATCCATGATTCCAACGGTGGAAATATCAGGATAAGGATCTTCCATAGCTAATTTAGTTTTAGGGTTTTGGTCAATGAAGTCAGCTTTATTCAAACAATCTTTAGCCAAAAGACACCGTGGCTTGTGGGGTGTCTTAACTCTTTTTTGTTGTTTGTAACTTTATTTTCCTTCTCTCTTTCCCTATTATCATCACTCTCCACCACCATTGTTTTTTATTTTTTACTTTGAGCCTCATATTGGGTTATTAACTAACAATCCTATATCGACAGGCAAATTGTGACTTTTTAGCTTAATTCAACTCTCACCAAATCATGCAATTATTAAGGGCTCTTGTCGTGTAGCATTTGCATCATATCATTACTAAATTATCTTTCTGCATCTGTTTTAGTGTAAAACTTTAATGTTCCCGTGCTTATTCTTGACCAAAGCACCCTCTCTGTTCTTGTGTTTGATGGCATTGTTTGGGGTGTTCATGGACGGTAGATAGGGGTTGCTGCAATTACCAGGAATCAAATAGGTCACATTCAATAATTTACTGCTTCTTTGTTCTAAATCCATGCTTTCAAGGCACTCTTGAAAGTCGTAAGCATTCTCCAGAGATTAAGAGAAGATTCTTGCAATTGAGATTGAACCCCTTTTTTGTTGTGAGGTCTGGATTATTTATCGTCATCGTTAAGCAAATCCATAGTCCCCATTCCCCCTCAGTGTGTTAGTGAAGCGTTCATGACACATATTTAAAATATTAATGAACATTTAGTTTCTTGCTTTTACACATATGAAGCAACCTTCCTTGAGTTGCTAATGATTTTCTTGTCTTGTTTTTGTTTTGGGCTTAGGTTCTTATCCATAATTATGGTGGAACTGGAAATGACTCCATAACAAACAGTAAAAGTAATTGCTTAAGAAGATTTCTTGAGCTTCATTCAAAAGATAATCAGTGTTGTTTTAAGCTTTATAGGCATCATATAATCATTATTACAATAGAAGATGCTCAAAGAGTAACTATTTTACTCTTGTTTCTTCTATCTGATTCATGATGTTTCTGGTTTTGCTTTTAGTTTCTGGAAACTACTGTCAACAAACAAAGTCCTGCAAATCATGTTATACCGTTATAGTTTTAGCTATTATCGTGGGAAAAAAAACACAGAAATCCAAGCGTTTGAACCAGTTTTGCTGCTCTGAAACATTCCTTAAACTCTCTTTTTTCTTTTTCAGTTTTAACTCTGCAAATGAATTTCAATTTGAGTTTGAATTCAAGATAAAGTTGATTTGGAAAAGCGAGTTGCATGAATGGAGCAATAATGATGATGCGTAGGGTCCAATTTGGTTGGTCACATGCAAAACTCAGTGACCCATTCAGTGAAGCGCATCTTTCAATATTGTGGCCTGGCCTCTGTTGGAGACAATCTAACATCCATCTAATTACTTCGTAACAGCTTCATAAATTCGTTCCACCACTTTTAAATTTTCACCAAAACTTGACCCATAATCCTTTATAATGTATTAAACCATTTGAGCTAAATCCATCATATTCCAACAAAACTAAGCCCATGAACTTGTTAATGCCCAATTTAAATTCTATCTACACAGCCAACGTAACCGCTTCTCGTACACTCTCAAGTCTCGCACCCCACACCCCCATAAACTCCTACTTCATAGTTTCCCATTTTCCGCCGACCAACTTCATAGTTTTTCTATTCAAAAGGCTTGTAGAGTAATTTATTTTTGTTGAGATTTTTTATGGAGAAAGGTGAGATCATATTGGAAGCAATCTACGAAGAGAATGATTTAGGAGACGGAGAAGATGTTGAGATGCTTGATGTAGAAGAAGGAGAGCTCGTGGATAATGACCCAGTAAATGATTCAGGAAAAACCGGAGTTGCAGATGTTGATGGTGAAAATCAACGTTCACAGAGTAAAAATAAGAAGCGCGGAGGAAATAAGAGGAAGAGCAAGAAAAAAAAGGGTGGTTCAGGACCTAAAACTTTGGATATAGACAGGTTCGCATGGTAAAAAAGATTTTTTTTTTTTGTGAAAATTTGTTTTTGAATCTTTGTTGATTTTTTTTTCTTTTTGCAGGTTTGTGTTAGATACCTGCAGAAGGTTAAAAGAGAAGAAATCATACATGGTGTATACTGCTGTGGGATGTTTGGGGATTTCTGCATTGAGTGATCTTGTTAAAGAGGTATTTTTAACTTCATATCTTTCAAGACTTATATTTTTCTAGAAATCTCTGTGCAAAATATGCAACTCAATGCTGAATGTACCATAAATTAGTTGTTTAATTTATTGCTGGTAGATTTTGCTTTTAGTCTTCTTCAAGAAGTCTGTATGTTAGATATCCTCGAGTTAGTGTTGACTGTCCTAGGAATTAGGATGCTCTCTTACAAGCTTAGTAGCCAGGGACTGACATAGGATTTTCTCCACCAGCAGCCCCCCTCGGTCCATGTCCATCCCTGTCAGTAGCTCGCCTTGTCTTGAATCTTGTTGATGGGTTAATCCCTTCTTACAAGTTTTGTCTCTTGGTTGCTTTTCTTCCCTATACCTTGTTGAGCCGTCCTAGGTAATTTTAGGCTTGTGTGTTTTTTACTTGATAGCATCTAAACTGCTACCAGTAGCTTCTAAGTGATTTGGGCATATCCCTTTTTCAGTTTAACCAGTAATTCCACTCTTAGCATCCGATTATCTAGATTGTTTTCCCTAACGTTGCAGATTCCATTTTGGCATCTGATATTCTACATTGTTTTCCTACCATTACAGATCCCACTTGTTACTTCAAATCCTCTGCTCTGAGCTGTGAGATGACCCACTTCTTTAGTTCCCTTTTGATATAGGTTGTTACCATGTTTTTTTCTTGGACATGGTCCATTCTGTGGTGATGTAAAACAAAATATCAAGTAGGTTCACATATCAAAAGCTAATTATCCGAAATTAAGAATGAATATTTTCAAGATTTATAAGATGTCATTCACCTAGATGATAGGATAATAGCAAAAGATTGAAGCCTCTTTTAGGATTAATGCAATTAAGTTCGCTTGTATCATTGCTGTGTAAATGGAAAAATGATAAGTATCTCATTGGAACTAATGAGAAAGGCAAACTAATTATGACATAATACTTGACTTCTTGGCTGAAAATTTTGGCTGCTCATATGTGAGAAATGCGTAGAATAGGTAAGACTCATTCGTTGAACTTTTTGTTTGATTTGAGATTTTTTTTCAAACATTTTCGTTAGTTTTTGGCCAACGGAGTTATTCATTTTTCATGCCTCATAAAATAATGTGTTAAAAAGTTTTCACCTTGGCTACTGTTGCTTGAGATATATACTGGAAATAATTAGTAGAAATTCATGACTTGTTTTTTCTTCTTTTGTCCTTTAATATCTGTTGCACGTTGTTTTATTATATGTTTAGTAATTGCTTGATTTGTTATTTTTATAGTTTAAACTTTGATATAACAATATTCTCATATATGGTACTGTACTATCACTCCCTCAGTCCCTCCCTTTGATGTAATTCTGTCCCCACCCTAAGTTTTTTCGTTCCTTATCCCTGCCATTTTCTCTCTTGGGATGTATGATGAAACCTAGAGTTCTCAGATGGATGCAATTCAATCTTGTGGAGGACAGATGACTGCTGATGGCAGGCGTTGCAGGACAGGTGGTGGCATTTTATGGAATATCATAAAAGAACGAGAACCGGCTGCTTATCAAGAAATAATGAAAAAACCAAGGAATTTGAGGTGTGTACTTATTGGCACATTAACTGCTGTCTTTTTATATTTGTCAGTTTAATATAGACGTGTGTGAGAACTTTCAAATTGATCTGTCAATTGGATGTCTAAATAACATCGTTAGGAATCAGTTGCCCATCTATTTGTATGCTTTGCTTATTTTCTTACATTAATTTCCATCATTCTGTGTCACTTTTTATACGTTCTGGTATTATGGCTTTGTAATCTAATTGCAGCAGTGATATTTTTAACATTTCGTAATATTGAAGCAACTTTTGATTTTCATATAATAGCTTTTGGTTCATGTATCATGTGGTGTTATTATTCAAATACTAATTTAGAATAGATGCCTGATTGGTATTTATAATTTTGCAGAAGCAATTCAAGCAACAAAATATCAGACAAGCACAGCCTCAGAGCAAAGAGAGCTCTTCTCAAAAAACTGCCTCTATGCTATGAATGGAACTACTACAAGTGTTCCAGAGGATTCTGGACCAGTTACCAATAACCTTACGGAAGAGTTGAGTGCCAAAGGAACACGTAAATCAATTCATGATAGAACTAGGGTCCCTGTTTCATATGAAGACCTTCTAGGAGAGGATCCAAAAGACGTTTAATGGACCTGATCGTTTTGAAAACATTGAAACTTTGCTTGGCATCAATTTTGCATGTATAGATTTGTTGATACAAGGGGTTTTATATTATTTGGGAAGCTACAGATGTGATCATGTTTTAGAATAGTTAACGCTGGTTAACAACCAACTAAGTCGCTGCAGGCAAGGTGCTTGGCTTTTGCTTCTTTTGGAGGAAGAGGCAAACCACGTTGCAGTCATCTACTTTTGAAGATGGAAACTTATTTTTCCATGAGGCCCTAGCCACATCCACCACTGCCCTCGCTGCCACCTGTTCGTTTTCTGCCTCCGTTACTATGGTGGCAACTTGGTGGTTATTGAGCACGTCCCATACCTATAATAAACAGGCCAAAAGAAGGGAGGAAATTCTAAGTTTCACTCTAATCTTGAGACAAAAGCATTGTCATTTCATTGAAATGGGGTTAGCTTACCCCATCTGTTGCGAGAACAATGAACTGATCATTTGGGGTTAAGTGATGATGGAAGACGTCAGGTACTGCAATTATTCCATGGCTCTTGAATAGGAAATCTCCAAAAGCACGAGACATGGCTAGGCCTGGGGAATCTTCATGGGTCAGCCATACACGCACGCTGGATATGTGGTTCCTTTGCAATTTCTTATTCTCTCTGCTTCACCTGCATGGGGGGGGGGGGGAAGGTAACCATACGGTAAATGCTCTCTTCGTACATGGTAAACCAGGTTTTAAATCAGTAGTTAATTCAACAGCCTTGATCCCGTCCTCGGTCATTGTCCCCAACACTGCTCTCGAATCGCTGAGGTTTGCAATAACAAGATCTTCACTCTTTTGAAAGGGGAAAAAACCAACAGGAAAAAAAAAGGATGAAACTTTGTAATATGGCAAACTCATATAATTTTGTTAAATCAATTTTATGAACTTTAACTGAAAAGGAATTTTTACCTGTCTGACTACAACTGCAGCGGTGGTTCCACTGGTGGAACAATCCAAATTCTGTTGAAGCATAATCTCCATGTCCAACACCTTGAAAGCACTGATACAAGCCTCTTGCCAATTAAGGAAACTCTGCTTGGTAATGATTTCATGTCTGTTTTTGCCACCTTATGTTGATAATTCATTTCCAGAGCATTCTTTTGGCTTAGCAACAGTGATGGCAACCTATTTCTCACCATATTGCTCACCACGTGACCATTGTTCCCATGACCATCAAAAACTCCACAAAATGCTCCACCTTCCATTCCATAATCCTTGAAGATCCAAAATAAAAACCCAGAGCTTTAATTAACAAAAAAAAAGGCAGTATTTGATCATGAATATATATAAAAAGCATAGAGTTGCAGTGGGAAACCTGATAAAGGATGGCAGCATCCTGGTTCAGTCCTTTGCTTCCTTGCTTAGTATAAAGAGAGCCGAGTCCTTGGATTCCAAGAGAAGCAACATTTTCAGCCAAGAAAAGAACGCTGTCCTGATGACAGACATCGGCCTCTTGAATCTCTGAAGATGCAACGGATATGCAGACTCCCATCTCAACTCCAAATAATAGTTAAGTTCCAATGACTTTGTAAATATTCTCCTTCTCAATCATGTATTTAAAGACTCCATAATGCGCTGGTTAGGCATACAAATGGTTGAGTATTGTAATGGGCTACTCTAAGATTTACTTCAAAAGGCATGTGTGAGGTGTGCTGCTACTAATCCCCCCCCCACCAAAGACCAACCAATTAATCAATTATTTTTATTACAAATAAAATTAACCAATTAATTAACCTTACAAGTACCTAAAAATACAATTAGCAAAATCAACCATTTGTGATAAAAAAATCATATTATTAGCGTGCTATATATTTAATATTTTTACCATTATTATAAAAATTTGACTCAAAATCATGAAAAGGTGCGTAAAAATGTTGGTCAAAACTTAGATATAAAAAACAAATAATTATTATAGCTATTAACAAGGTTTAATCTTACCCTTTAAGGGTGCGTTTGGATGGAGGATGGAGGATTCCTGACAGGAATATTTTTTTCCTGACTAAAGATACCCATATTTGGTTGAGTATTCTTTCCCAAGTGAAGGTAATATTTATTTCCCAATCGTGAACATTCCTCGGAATGTTATTCCTCCACACCCATTAGGTATTCTTTCATTTTGTGTGTGAAGGGTTAAAATACCCTTGTTTTCCCGTTTCCATCGCGATATCTTTGTTTTTGCCTCTGCAATCATCATCACAAGCGAAGCATCACGCCTGTTTCCAGACACCAACATGTATGTCTCTCTTCTCCTTCACACTCTGCCATTTTCGTGATCCAAAACCATTCATTTGTGTGCCATTTTCGCAGCAACATGCTTTTTTGAAATTCCATCGACTTTATCTCCGTTTGGGTGCCATTTTCATCTTTGTTTGTTGTTGTTGTTTTTGTTTGTTTCTGATGGAAAATCCATCGACTGCTGTTTTGCTGATTTGAATCTGATTTTTTTTGTTTTCATCTCTGTTTTTTTTTTGTTTTTCTGTTTCGTGTACGAATAGGAGATTCTATTAAGGAATTTGTTGATCCAATTCCTTTTTCACTAATTATGATTGAAACTTGTCAGTGTTCTACTTTGTGGAAGATTTTTTTTTTGGTTCTGTCCAAATGTCCTAATTGGTTATAGGCTATATTATTTTTAATTTTTTCTTCCATTTCTTAAGTGATGCTTCCTCTTCTATGTAGAATTCAACCAACCCTGATGGTTATAAGGACCCTTTGGAGGGTCATTTTCACAAATCAGAAGGTTTTCTTTGTTGAATTATTTACTCTCTGTTATACGCTTTTTGTTGGTCAAGCTATTTTCAGGGGAAAGGTTTAATATCATTTTCCCCCTTTTGCTTCTTTTGGTGCTGAAATGTGAATGAGTTCCAAGGTAGATTGTTTTGTAGAAATCAGTTTACAGTGGCCAACCTTTTGCTTCTTTTGGTGCTGAAATGTGAATGAGTTCCAAGGTAGATAATTTTGTTGAGATCAGTTTACAGTGGCCAAAAGTTCTTTTCTCTCTCATAAGGTTTTCTTGAACCAACTAACATTTAGCATTTTATGTAATATTCTACTTCTTTCCTGCATGTGTTACCAACGTTATTCAGATCACAGATGAGTTCTATTTTCTAGATTTATCCTTATTTGTCTGTAAAAACTAGTTCTTCATTGCACATTTTGCAGAGTTGTTCGAAGTCCCGATTGTTCTTGTTCAGTAGATTAAGTGTCAACTTTTGCTTTTAGATTTTATTATGGGTTTCATGCTTTGTTCAAGAGATATGGCTTCCCAGTTCCCACCCATATTTTTTTCCATAATATGTTAAAGGCAATTGTAGAATGTGAATAATCATTGTCGGTATTAGCATGCATTCTATGTGCTATGCAGAATCAAGTGACCTGCCAAGGCTAGTAACTCCTTGAACTATTTTTTCAGTAACAACTGTTGGGGGTAAGGTCCTATAACTCTGGGTCAAGTGCTACTCATTGGTATTAATCTAATATGGGTTTTCAATATTTTTGAAGTTTCTACATATATTTCATTTAAGAGATCACTTAGGTGCTTTAGGTAAATGAAGAGTCCAGGTAACACAAATAGGATGTGAGGATTTTTTTGCAGTTCTAATGGTCAGTTGAAAGTTTCAGTCTGGCATCTTTATGAAAGGCTAAATCATGAAAAGTTACGTTATAAGATTGCATTTTATCCGTAAACATATTTTGTAAGACATTCAATTTCTCCCTGATTTCGTCTTAAGAATAGTCATTAAAATATTCACGTTTCAATAGGTTGTAGATGAAAAGAATCAAGTGACCTGCCAAGGCTAGTAACTCCTTGAACTATTTTTTCAGTAACAACTGTTGGGGGTAGGGTCCTGTAACTCTGGGTCAAGTGCTACTCATTGGTATTAATCTAACATGGGTTTTCAATATTTTTGAAGTTTCTACATATATTTCATTTAAGAGATCACTTAGGTGCTTTAGGTAAATGAAGAGTCTAGGTAACACATATAGGATGTGAGGATTTTTTTGCAGTTCTAATGGTCAGTTGAAAGTTTCAGTCTGGCATCTTTATGGAAGGCTAAATCATGAAAAGTTACGTTATAAGATTGCATTTTATCTATAAACATATTTTGTAAGACATTCAATTTCTCCATGATTTTGTCTTAAGAATAGTCATTAAAATATTCACGTTTCAATAGTCATTTTATTTGTTTAATATCATTTTTATTGTGTTCAATTATTTTTATTGTGATGACAAACAATTGTTCTTGTTAAATATTATTATTTTCTAATATTAAAATATTTGTTCATAATAACAGTTATGGCTCGTTTACCAATGCGAAAGAATACGCATATCACCACAATTCTTATTTTACAACTGCAAATGATGGAGATTATATGTCATATGCTTATGGTTATTTCAGTTATTCTTAAAAAAATATAAAAATCGACCTAAAATAACTTATGCACGTGAAACTTCATAGACATAATATTAGATCACTTAATTTACATAAAATTGTATTTGAAAGTGATCGAAAAAGTGTTGATAATTGTAAAATGGATAGGAGAGCATTTATCAAATTGTGTCACCTATTACAAATCAAGGTGGGTTAAAAGAGAGTCGATATATGTCTATAGAAGAAATGGTTATTACTTTCCTTCAAATTATATCCCACCATATTAAGATTAGAGTTTTAAAATGTCAAACAGTAAGATCTGGTGAAACAATTAGTAGAGTTCTTCATACAATGTTAGCTTCAGTCTTGAAACTGCATCCGATCCTTTTTAGAAAACCAGAACCGATACAAAATAATTCAACAGACGATAGATGGTGAAACAATTAGTAGAGTTTTAAAAATGTTTAACTGCACCAAAAGATGCGTTTGATGATTGGGTTAGAGTAAGTATGTTAATTGCATTTATCTTCTTTATATACTCTTTGTTATCTACTTAGCTTTGTAAGATTTATTAAATTTGCGATTTTATTATATTGTAGAGTCATCCAACTGCTGCTGGATTGAGAAACAAGTTATTTCCATTCTTTGATGACTTTGTTCATATATTTGGAAAAAAAGAGCTACAGGAAGAAGCGGGACAGCAGCTGATGTAGTGGAACATATTGATGTTGAAGACAATGCATTTATAGATGCATTACTTGAAGAAGATGGAGTAAGAGATTCTGAATCAAGAGAGGATATTGGTGCTTCAACTTGCCAAACATCGGATGCTACTGCATCTACCCCTACAATGAAAAAAGTAGCTAGTAAGAAAAGGTCTCGAAGTGATGATGGGTTAACCGAGCTTGTACAGGAGATAAGTAAGTTCGGTGCTGCATACCGAGAAACTGCTAAAGAAATTAAGGATATTATTGTTTTATTGAAAAAGGAGGCAGAAGGAAATGATCGAAGAATGTCGATTTTCACTGAAATCATGAAAATTGAAGGACTGTCCACTGATGAAATGCTTACTGCAGGAGAGTATATTAGCAAAGATGCACAAGGTAGATTTCTTCTTTTCTTTGCCAAAAGAATTCAAGCAAGATTATGTGATTAAGCAATTGGTTGAATGTCGTCAATTTAGACCATCAATTGACTGTCGTCATTCTACAATTATGTCGATCTCTTTTTGATTATGACTTTAGAATATGGTCCTAACTTTTTGTGTAGCTTAGCCAAGTATATGTCAATCTTTTGACTTGAAGAATTTTGTGTGTATATAATATAGCCAACATATATGATTACGTTTAGAATGTCATGGCTATTATCTTTTGTAAGTCTGAACATTGTACAATCTTTGATGGTTAATGTTATACTTCTTTTTGTATATATATATGAGTTGCAAGTAATGTGCTAGTTTTCGAATATGTTAATTACTTTGATAGTTTTTGTTATGTTTAAAAACCTTTCTTTGATAGTAAGAGTTATCGCTTTCTTGTGTCACAACTTATCGGTAGTGAATATTAGAAGTCTTGGAGAATACAGGCATTGTCCGTATTCTATAAATGAAACAGTGTTGCTCTTGCTGGTGATCAGGACTCTGAGTGGGTAGATCTATTTGAAAGAGTTGGAGGTGCTAATGATGGGTCTGTAACATTTTTATATTAAACGGTGATTCTCATAACATGACCTACTGCAGTGCTGCTACTTTTTTAGCCGAATACTTCCCTTGTAGATTGGCATGAGTCTGTGAATAAATTTTACTTATTATTTTATCAGCATAAAAGATGTGTTTGGTCATGGATGAGTCTGATTGTTAGTACACAAAATGGTTGCTCGACATGTTGATATATTTCCTTCTGCTCCAGTATTTCCTTATCTTTCAGGAGATTTGTAATTTTACAATTGATTACATGAGTTGCAGACCGAAAATTGAGGATTATTAAGAACATTATATTATTTTTTGTGAATGATAAATAGTAAAGTAAGAGTTGTTGAGCTGCATTTGCAGGAAGCAATCTAGTAAAACCAATAATCTCCCTGAATCGAACCTCTTGATTTCCTCCTCCGCCAACTAACTGAGAAGAGAACCTTGAATCCATCAATTAAATCATTTGTTTGAGTGGAGAACTAGCCAAGAAGAATCAATGGGTTTTGCAATAGTTCCCAATCCATGCAAATCATGCACGTAGAAGCATTTCAAATTTCTCGTTCCCATTCATTTTCATTTCTTTAATTTATCCTTTAATGTTACATTTTATGAATGTTAACCTTGCAGCAAAGATGTCAATCACAGTATCATGAATCTGCTTCATTTCTTATAATTTTTTGCTTTTGCCTAATTTAGTTCACTTTTGAATGTTAAATGAAAAAAAAGTTTTTTGCCCCTGCCGTGGGTTCAATCAGTGGGTTAGATCTATTTTGGAAGAATTGTTGTGAGCAACTTTAAAACCAAAACCAAACATTGAAATATGAAAAACCGGATGAGCAAGTTCATTTTAGGTTCTTTGTTAATAGGGTCTTTAATTCGATCAATCGAACCAATTCAATTGAGAGTCGGCTGATCTAGTGGTTATAAAATTGGAAATCCAAAGAACTGTACTTAAAAATCAAAAATTGAAATAAAAAAAGACGGATGAACAAGTTATTTTATGGCCGTTAAGTACAAATCAGATTAGGACTGAGTATTATTGGGTTGCTTGCTTTTCGTAATCAAGAGTTAAGTACAAATCAGATTAGGACTGAGTATAATAATTTATTAAAATATTAGCAAAGATATGAATGATGACGGTAAATATAAAATTAGACAATATGATTTTTAGTGTTATATTTTCTTACTTATTTGAATTATGTTTTTGGTAATATAAATTAATGAGATAAAATAATAATGATAAAGTATGCAGAATTAAGTATAAATATAAAAGAAAATAATAAATAATAAATAAATATGTATATAGAAGATATAATAAATATATACTTAGATAACAAAAAAATTTACATTGTTTTATTATTATGAATATCTATGAAGAATTTGCACAATGTAAACCATTTAGTTAAATGTTGATGTAAAATTTTAATATATTTTACATAAATTGTGTAAAATTAATATTAATTAAAATTAAAATAATACATGATATATTTAAATACTCAAGTAATATTTCAACAAATAGAATTTTTATATAAATAATTTTATTTAATATTTAGAATTTTACTTGTTAAAAAACAATATAGAACAAGGACAATTTGGTAAAATATACATTCAATAATCTTTTATTCCTCCGACCAAATATTGTAATCTTACATTCCTGTCAAACCAACCAAACACAATAGTTTAACATTCCCAGTAATCTTATTCCCTGGTAATCTTTTATTCCTATTGGTAATCTTACATTCCGTGAACCAAACGCATCTTAAATAGTTAAGAGATGGTTAATCAACCAAACATGCACATGTAGACAAACCATCGCAGCCTTTGATCCCGTGGACTTTCTTTATAACCGTTAGATCATAAAACTCTGCCCCAATAAATAAGTAAAATAAAATGATCATAAAACAAACTTGGTGGACGATGAAGTTGATTTTTAATGTTTTCAAATAAATTGGATCTCTCCCCCAATTTGTAGGATTTTTTTTATGTTGCGACACTGAAAGTCAATAAACGCAACAAATATTCTTATATGAAAAGTAAAGGCTACTTATCGATGTACGGATGTATTACGTAAAAAAGGAAAAGGAAATGTCGATTATTGATGTACGGATGTAAAATTATTTTTATTTCATGAATGTGAATATTCGTCATTTAATCAATTAAAATTCCAGATTATAGGTTATTTATGCTTCTGACATTTTTACCATGTACTCAAAGGATGATATTTGAAAATTCAGATTATAAATATTTGTTTTATTTTTTTATTATTCAAAGATAAGTATAATATAATATCGGTTCAGATAAATCAAAAGTTTGTTATTTTACATTTTCTATTAGTAGGCAGCGACACTAGCTTAAATAATGGTCGTCGATTGTCTGTATTTATTATTATTTTTTAATTTTTATCAGATTTTTATTTTTTATTTTTAAAAAATTTACCTTTATTACACTTTTTTGGCACGTTATCGTTCATTTGAGGTTATTTTCGTTTATTTTTTATGGTTGAATTTGACATCATCTCGACTAATCAAAATGACGTTTATTTGTTATCTTGTTGAACTTCTATGTTTTGGACAATCGAATTGAATTTTGAAATACGATGTGCATTCGTGGATAGTTTTTTCATGTCGCTAAACTCTGATTTAAGATTTGTCAGTGGTCTTTTAATAGTTTGATCTCCTCTTATGATTCATTTATCGATGCAGTCAGATTTATTATTATTTATTTTTTATTCAAGCTTTTGATTGGATTTTTAACATTTTCTTCGTATAGTCATTATATGATCTCAAGTGGCTAATTTCTTGTGTCAATGATTTTAAGAAAATGTCCTAATTATATGTTTAGTTTACGATTATGGTTGTAAACATTCATTATAATCACATGATTTGTACTTTTTGAGTTTTTATCATTTAGCCATTGAATTATCTAAAGTATTGTATGCTCATTGATATATTGATTCACATTGATTAGAAAACTATAAGTGTCAATTCAAATAAAAAAAATTAAGTTCAAATACTAATTTAAACTAAAAAATCAAATTCAAATATTTAAATAAAAATTTAGATACCAAATTGAACATTAAAGTTAAGTATATATATCAAAATATATCGACCTTTCTTTAAATATTAAATATTAAATATTAAACTATTTCAAATAAATTGGGCCTCTCTTCCAATTGGTTGTAATTTTTTATGCTGTGCGCCTGTGCCATTGAAAATAAGCATAATTGAACAAAAATGTCGTCAGGTTTTTGTTTATTAAAAATCCGAAATTAAGAAGAAGAAAAATTCTTATTAAGCTAAGAAAGATGATTAATGTACGGATGTCATAATATTATTATTAGGCGGTGAGAACGAAGGATTGAATATTCATAACTGAATCGATGATGATAAATTGTTTTTGTTTCAAACATTTTCGTAATTTATTAAAATAATGATATCTGATCCCTCTACGTATTCATAAGTTTAAATAAATTATTTTTCTTTACAAATTATTCAAATTTAATTAACGATAATTTTTATTTTCATTCATAAATAAATATTGGGTGAAGAAAACAGACTATTATTTCATGTCACAAATACTAAAATATTTTTTATTAGTTTAAAGTGAATACAAGATAACATTTGTTTGAAGGTTCGATAATTTGATAATTAACGCTCAAACACTCTTAGTAATTCGTTTATGCTCGAACCGAGACCCTTGCTCGGTTCGTCCAAGTCAATTAAAATAAACAGATAATCTTGCCGACTTGTCAGCCCGAAACCATTGACTCCAGTTATATTCACTAATTATTTCCTTTTCTTAAATACTTAATAGAGCGTTGAATCTATCCGATTCTAATTAATAATTGATTCCAAATCAGTATTCGAATAAAATCAAACAAAATCAAAAAAAAAAAAAGAATGAAGAGGGGACAGGGGTGAGTGATGACAAGGATGAACATTATCCCAACAATTTGATCCCTGCACTTTGTATAAGCACGCTTGATTGTTTCTTTAGTCAAATAACACGTGTTTGGATAACCCGGACATCTTATCAGATGAACAAAGACCATAAGCTCCATTACATACACATATAATTCTTTAATGGGTATCTATTTCTAATCCAATATGAAATGCGTAGGAAGAAAAGTGAGGGGGAGAGTGATCATTTTTCATCCTCGTTTGTTTTCTATCTACGTTTCTTTCCACTCTATCAAGCAAAGCCTTAGAGATAAGTTTAGAATCCAGTACACAATCAAAAACCAATGCAATACTAAAGCATGATAGAATTATGGAATACAAAAGCTTCAATATGCACCTCTCATGTGGTATGTTGTTGCAGGCTGCAAAAATATGTTGGCTTGGAGCTAAGGTTTCTACATCTTTGGCATGCCTTGTGTGGTATGTATGTCTAAGGATACAAGACAGCTCATAACTAAATTAGTACTAAAAGGGATGCTACTGCAGTTGCTTTCAACATGTTAAGAAAGCTCCATAAAAGCTAAAGTTAATGAAGAAAATACTGCATCTTAAATAAAACGGAACAGTTTGACAAACACGGAGAAAAGAGCTCGATATTTACAGAATGTTGGCAGAAGATTAAATAGGCCATCTTGTTCATGTATTGTAATTTCAGATCGCATGCAGAAATCATACTGATAAATTTACCCAAGGGCCAGAAGCCACACGAATATCAGGTTATTGATGTTCTCACCAGCTGGTGGTGGATACGTGAACATTATCTTTGCCATTTGCAAGTTCAGCTGACTTCTTCATAAGAGGCTTGGGAATATCACAGTCATCTTGAGGACAACGTTGCTGAGGGTGACACAACAACATAGACATGAAACGGAAGAAGGTACGTGGTAGCCCATGCCCACTCTCATGGATGTAACCTTCGTACTCACTAACATGTTCAAGCACATCAACTAATGCATCATAGACTGCCTGGGGACAATTATCCGGTCCAGGCTTGTCATGGAGGTACATTACATCCAAAGTGAAAAGCTTCTGGTTTACAGGCCATTGATGATGGGGTTGTGTCGATGATCTGCAGTATATCAGAATCTAAAAAGCAGCAAAAAAAAACATGTGATCAGATTTTAGAGGAACATAGCGAGACATGTAAACCACAAATTGATCTCCAGTCTCTAAACTACTTCAGGATTCAAATAACAACGGTTCATTACTTCATGACTTTAACACAAATGGAAGAGATTTCACTATCCCTGAGAATTCATTCGATAAAGGAAGACATGAAAATATAAACAAGATCATTTAAGCCCGTTTATAAGAAAAACTAACTACACTTAGGGTGTGTTTAGAACTGCTTCTTAGCTATCCTTGAGTATTTATTGACAGCAAATGCAATACTAAACAAAAGGGTTTTTGCCATCCAAAACACTCTAAAAGTGCTTTCGGAACCGAATGAAAAAACTGGCTGCTATGTGCTACTTTTAAACCGTAACAGCACTGCTAAACCAGCCGAGAGAAAAGGGGCGTCGTGTATGAATAAATTCCCCCACTTAACCAATGATGAGAAATGGTGAGAAAAAAGGAAACGTAATGGGCACTGACCACTCTGAAAATGCGGTTCTGGGAATGAGATTTCTTGGCTTCATGAGCTGCTAAGCGGAACAAATTAGTGAGATCTGCTTGACCAGAATAGACAGAGGCAGCCGAGAGAGCTCGAACCGCAGCAATGGTAGACTCAACATCACTGCTGAATTCTTTTCTAAGCTATGAAAATTAAATTTAAATATAAATTTAAAATTCAAAAACTCTAATTTTCAAATCAATTAAGGCCAAGATAATAATCAAATCTGGAAAAACTAGAAAATAAAAAGAATGAGAGGAATGTACCCAAGAGGCGGATTTGGAGAGAGTGGCGAAAGCAAAGCGGTGATCGGGGTTGATAGAGAGCTTGGAGTTGACGAAGAGAAGGATGGCTTGCTTTATGGAATCCAATCTGGTTATTCCCGCTGTTTTCATTTCCACAATCGACTCTGCGTCCACATCCACGCAAAATAGTATGTCCTCGCTGTTTATCCGCATCGGATTCAATGTGTAACGCCCTGCTCCGCCCACCGAGGCGTCTCCTTCGATTCCTTCCATTTTCATTTTCCCTCGAGTTCCTTCCTTGGGGAGAGATATATTTTTTTATTCAATGTGTAACGATGCGTTTTTCATACAAACTCGGGTAATTTGGTTAAATTATTCGAGAGTTTAATAAAACGCTGCAATTTTTATTTTTATTAGATAAAATATAAATTTAATTAAAAAATATAGATATAGAAATATTATAACAATTGTTTTTAATATAAAAATATTTATTATATTATTATTTTTAGATCGATTAGAATTAAATATTTTTAAATTAAATTTAAATTCAAATCCGATTTGATTTATCACTAAAGCTGTTCAACCTAATCTAAATATAATTTTTTAATAAAAAAGTTAATATATAAAATTAAACCAAATCAAAATTCATTGAATTAAAATAAAATAACTATCCCAAATATATGATTTTGGCAAGTTATTGAATGTAAAGAAGCGGAATGGCAAGTATATCTATCTGTCATTTTATACTTAATTCGTTTTCTAGGCCTTATCCTTGGCATAGCCATAGATGCTTCAACTCCTTTCCCTTCCCAGTCACGAGTAAAATAACAAAAAATATATCCGGTTCAGCCGCTTGGCTTTTTCTTCTCTTTCTGAAGTATTATTTTCTTTCACTCGGACGGCTGTATTACTCCAATAAAGTTTTAGGGTTTTAAAGTTGAAGCCACTTGCTGCTTCGCTTTACAGTGAGAAACCAAGAACAAACAGAACTCTTCACGTAAGCATGGTTTCTTCATTTTCTACTTCGCTTTAATCCTTGTTTTCATATCCACTTATTGAACTCTACTCTTGAGTATTTACTTATTGGTTTTTCCCACGTCTTTGCTTTAGCCTGCTATTCATATTATTATTAGATTTTATTGCTTCATTATTTCTACTATCCTGTACGATTCAACAGAGTCTAAAAATTACTCTTTTGTTTTTCTCTTTTATTTGTGTTTTAAGATTCGCTGTTTGTCTTTAGTTAATACATGCTTAATGTAGACTTAAGAATTTTTTAAGTGCCAGTCTCCTGCTAGAACTTCACATTTTCAAAGCAAAAATTCATTTTTTCTCTTTCCTTTCTCATATCGTATCAAGTCTTAAAGGCTGTTCATTTTTTTCTCTAGGAAAAATTGATGTTGGAATGAATTTTTTATTTTAATTCTTTGTTTTTCCCTGGTGAATTCGTAGGAAATTTGAGAGGAATATTATTGTAAAGGAAGAATGCAGGCTTGTGGTGGAGCTGCAATGACGGGCTCTTTGCATCAGCCCATGAGGGTTAATCAACCAGCATTTCCTTTAAAAGGATCTCGGATTACTGGATACCCGCTTCAGATTAAGCTTAACTCAGTGAAACCCTGTAGAGCTCAACTCGAAGGCAGCTTAATTACCGGGAGGCCCAGCTCTTCACTCTCTGTCCCTGTGCTTGAAAACAGCTTTGTGGACCATGGCCTCGGTGATGCTGATCCTGAGGTATGCTCAATTATTAGTAAGGAGAAGGAGAGGCAGTTCAAAAGCCTTGAGCTTATTGCCTCTGAGAATTTTACATCCCGTGCAGTGATGGAGGCAGTTGGGTCATGTCTCACAAACAAGTATTCTGAAGGACTGCCTGGTAAAAGGTATATCTAATTGAGCAAAGTGCATAGAGATTTAATGCGTTATTTGGTATTGACTTAATTAATTGCAACCAATGATCTTTTTTGTTTATTGCAGGTACTATGGTGGCAATGAGTACATTGATGAACTTGAAATACTTTGCCAGAAGAGGGCTTTGGCAGCATTTCACTTGGATGAAAAGAAGTGGGGCGTCAATGTTCAACCATTGTCAGGTTCTCCTGCTAATTTTGAGGTTTATACAGCTATTCTAAATCCACATGATCGGATAATGGTAAGCTACTTTGGCCTGTTTTAGCTGCTTTAATTTAGTTGTTGTTGCTCCCATTGGATAGTGCTCAAATCAGTGGTTTCCTAATATAACCTGTACAGGGTCTTGACTTACCTCACGGGGGACATTTGTCACATGGATTTATGACCCCGAAAAGACGAGTATCTGGCACGTCAATCTATTTTGAGTCAATGCCTTACCGTCTCAATGAATCCACAGGTTATTCCTTATTGTTTGACTTACTGAGCTTTAGTGGTTGGTATGTTTGCCTGGTGGTTGATATCAATTTGTTTTAAATCTCAAACAGGTCTTGTTGATTATGACATGCTTGAAAAAACAGCTACCCTGTTTCGACCAAAACTCATAATTGCTGGTGCCAGTGCATATCCTCGTGATTTTGACTATCCTCGTATGAGGAAAGTAAGTAGGACGCTTGCTGGTTGTGCTATATTATGCCTACCATTGTTTAGCTATCATTTAAGGAAAACACATTTTTTAATGTATGCTTTGCATCCTTCTTTTAGCTTGTAACTTATTGGAGTTGATATCTGTTGGAAGATTGCAGATGCTGTTGGTGCATTTCTCATGATGGATATGGCTCATATAAGTGGACTTGTTGCTGCTTCTGTAGTTGCTGACCCATTTGAATATTGTGATATTGTGACAACAACCACACACAAGGTTCGGAATGGATATATTCAACTGCTGTGTTGACGTCTATTTATGTCAAATTCACATAGAATGTGGCTAATTTTGCTTGTTGAAATATTTATAACTAGTGTACTCAAGAATATATACTTCTTGGATGACAAATTTCACTTCATTTTTCCCCCTATTTCTTTTGATCCTTTCCCTCGGCTAGCCAAGAATATTTACTTCTTACTTATTTCCAGTCTCTGAGAGGTCCTAGAGGTGGCATGATCTTCTTCAAGAAGGATCCTGCTCATGGAGTTGATCTAGAATCTGCCATCAATAATGCTGTTTTTCCAGGGTTACAGGTTAGTTTGACTCGGCTCATTGGTTCCCATCTTCAATCTGAATTCCACTATTCCAACCTTCTTCTGGCTTTGAAGTACAAGCTGAGATTTCATGTTTCAACTAGCGATGCCATGAGATGCCTGAAGGTTGTCTATGCAGGGAGGTCCTCATAACCACACAATTGGTGGGCTAGCAGTTTGCTTAAAACATGCACAGTCGCCTGAATTCAAGGCTTACCAGAATCAGGTACTCTCATTTAAATATAAAAAAATCGGATGAAGTTCTTTCATGTTGATCAAGTCTAATATGGTTACTTCATCGTGCAGGTAGTGTCGAATTGTAGAGCTCTTGCAAGTCGATTAGTTGAACTTGGCTATACACTGGTTTCTGGTGGCAGTGATAATCATTGTACTTGTGGACCTAAGGCCACTGGTCAGTTATCATCTCTCTTCACATTCTTTTTTCTGATTATTTTCTTGACACCCTATGCTCCCTTTGCCTCTTCCCTTTTATTAAATTAATGTCTCTTTCATAGGGGGTTGATGGTGCTCGGGTCGAGAAAATACTTGACATGGCCTCTATCACCTTGAACAAAAATTCAGTGCCTGGTATGTTCTTGCTTATTTGATATATATATATATATATATATATATATGTACATGTGTGGATATCTGACCAGTGCTTATACGTCTTAAAATATTGCTTTGCAGGGGATAAGAGTGCGCTTGTTCCAGGTGGCATTCGCATTGGATCACCTGCTATGACCACTCGAGGATTAAAGAAAAGGAATTTATAGCTATTGCGGACTTTATCCATGAGGGTGTGCAAATTACTATTGGTGCTAAAGGATTGGTTTCTGGGTCGTCAAAGCTTCAAGAATTCTTGAAGTTTGTGGTAGCTCCGGAGTTTCCGTTGATGGACAAGGTGTTGAATCTCCGTAGTAGAGTCGAAGCCCTTACAACCCAATTTCCCATTCCTGGTGTATGAATGACACAGGTTCACTTTACTAAGTTATAAGAAACATCAGAGCAGGGTGAAATCAAACATAGATTTTTAGACCTGACATTGATGCTAAGCTTTTTAATAAGTTCAAGCCAATGAAATGAAAAGAACCATATATTGAATAATTGATAGTTCTATGGGATTCTAATTTAATAGTAATTCTTATACTCTTTTCAATTATTTTTTGAATTTAAATGCCGTTACTAGCCAAAAAAAAAGGGGACAATTCGATAAGAAGATAATACTTTAATCAGACTTTCCTGCCATTATCATTTAGTATTATTTAGGTATAAAGAGAAATGGTGTCACATTAAGGGGGGGGGGTTGTGTTTTATACGAGGTCTTTAGGCACTGCTGACCTGCTAAGAAATTGATGGACTTTTAACTATCTTGTTAGGGTGACTTCGAACGGAATACTTTAAATAAAAGTTAATTCTCGCAATATTTTAATTATTATTAATAATGATAATCACTTATATTGTATCAATTCTTCATATACTTAAATTCGAGTGTATTAGGTAAACTTGATGATTTGAGAGTAATATTTAAAAAATTTAATTGTTATACTATTAATAACGGATGAAGTTCCAAGAAAAAAGGATCAATCATCGATATAAAAATGCAGATTGCGTCTGATGTAACATTATAACCAACTTCCAGCAGCCACTTCACGAGAACATCAAATATATAATTGAACAATATTACATCTAAGAAACAAGCAAGCAATTATAGTACTCAAATTATAACGAAGGCATAGATGAGCGAGAGAGAGAGCATCCGAAACATCCGAGTAAAACACTAGCATATCTTAGTAACACATGGAATACAGTAAACCCGTTTGTATCAAGTACCAGAATGTAAAATTGTCTTTGAGCAAACTCACTCCTAATCAAGATTGAGGCGATGCTTTTCCAGCTCCACCTTGTTTCCCAGTTTGAGAAGCTGGCGCTGCCTCATAAGTTCCATGAGTGCTCCCACTCACATTCCCTTCAGCGGGATATGCTGGAGGCTGTGAGTAACCACCACCATAAGAGGTGTTATAAGGCGCTCCATAAGGTGGGGCAGCGTATCCTGGCTGAGCTAATGCAGAACCATAAGTAGATGATTGAGTCCGTTGTGAGCCTGATTCTGTTTGACCATAACCAGATGAGGGTGGCTGTGAATGATATCCCGGCTGGCCATAGCTTCCTGGTGTGGTGGGCGACTGCTGTGTCTGTCCATAGGCAGGGTGATTAACAATGGTTTCTTCCCTTGTGTGGTCCATATCCAGATTGAGCTGGTGGTTGACTCCCATATCCAGCCTGGGAAGTTGGAGGCATTCCGTAACCAGCTTGAGTACTTCCTTGAGGTGGATAACTGCCAGGATTTGGGCTAGGCGTCTGACTAGTATTATACCCTTGCTGTGCTTGGCCAGAATCCCTTGATTGGCATAGGAAGGAGTCTGACCCTCTTGAATTGGGTCCGTTTCAGTACCATAGCTCGTTACAGAGCCATAACCTTGTTGGTCATATGATGACGGCTGCCCATAACCTGATTGTGGAGGTGCATGGTACCCACCATACCCATCCTGACCATAGCCTTGTCCTGGTTGCACGTAGCCAGACGCTGGAGGTTGACTGTAATGGTAACCACTGTTATCGGAAGGAGCGGCTGAACCACCAGATGCTTGCTGCTGCTGTGAAGAAGATTGTTGATTATAGTAATCATAACCACCTGCAGAAGAACTTTGTGGGTTGGTGGAATAGATGACTGGTCCCAACCAGAGGAATATCCACCAGATGATGGTGGGAAGGATAGCCCCCATAAGGTGGCTGAGACATGCTATACTGTGGTGATGGGCCAGGATATCCCCCAGGTTGCATATAGTCATATCCAGGTTGCTGCATTGGAGGAGCCCCTTGGCCCCAGCTTGCAGGTGATCGTGCTTGATAAACTTGCTGTTGATAGCCTCCAGACATTGACGAATTTCTCATACGATTCTGCACATTTCCGCAAATAACTTAAGTTCGCTTTAAAATGATGCTGGCACATAAACACATAACAGCAGAACAGGATAAGCACCTATATGCAAATAAGATTTACAACAACAAAAAACCCTAAATAGCAAGTATCAAAATCAGCATAAAACTGCAAAAATAAGCAAAATATGACCAGTGGATTTAATGGAGTTTGTACAATAGTTTGAAGGGTTTAAATGCCTACATACCGTATGGTCGGAGAGAATATTGAGTATTACTCCAGCAGAAGCCCATCCTCCCCTTAATCAAATTGAATGGGTGCAAAAAGAAAAAGAGAACCCCAGAATACTAACAGAAGCATACATATCAAAGGAAAAATAACTACGAACTACATTGCCGCATACAGGCAAGAAACCCATAGTTAAAAGTACACTACATATTATCTTTCTGATAATCCTAAAAAACATCAATCAACACGCATTAAGTGAAAGATGTCACTTATCTTAGAACAGACCCTAAATTTCTCTATACCAAGAAAGGGGAAAATTCATTATATCAAACATTTACAAGCGACAATCAGAGCATTTAGAATATATAACCTGTATGATAAAAATGGATTTTACTAAATACATGAACCCTTGCCATATATAGTGTAGAATTCTGACATGAAATATTAGAGCTGGGTTAATTGTAGACAAGTTTCTGGGAAAAAATGTGATTAGAATAACCAGTTATTTTAACCAAACAACTTTAATACAGGAATAAATCAGATAAACAATGAGCCAGATAAATGGGGTTAAAAATACAACTTAATAATGACCAAGGTCATATCCAAAGCGAAAAAAAATGATAGGGTTAAAGAAAATCTGGCAACAAGCTACAAAACATAAAGATGATATCTGGAAATATGGGGAAGTTCTGATACTAACACAGTAGAAAACAATCTTTAACCAGTTTTAGAAAGTGTAATTTACAACGTATTAGTAGAAAATTTAGAGATATGTGGCCCCAGCAGACACACAGTTAAATGATACTCAAGAAGAAATCAGGGATAGTTCAAAAGGTAAAATAATATTGAAAGGATTAAATATTCAAACAATAAGACAAATTAAGAACCAAGAACCATAGCATCCCTATTTATTATTGAATAAGTGGATAGATCAACAGAAATAGAAACATTATGTAAATAAATATTAAACTAACTTATCCTAAAGTGTCATATGATAAAAGGGTCCAATATCTAGCAATTTTTATATCCAACAACTTCAAGCCCTCTCCAGTATAAGATCAGAAAATATTACACAGGATCTTCAGACCATAACTACACAATGCAGGGGAAGCACTAACAAATATATGTGTGTGTGCTGGTATCACCGACTGTTCAATACATATTAACCCTCAACAGTTCCCAATAGCTATATCAGTCTCAATATTTACAATGATAAACACATGGCATCTATTATTCCAAAATGTCGACAAGCCACTTTGCCATAGAAACAAAGGAGGATGAAAAAGTAAAAGTGAAGAATATAACCATCTGAGATTGACTTCCATTTGAATCCTAAACACAATTTACCTTAATAATATATAAGAAACCAACAGCAGATACCTTGATATATAAGAAACTAACAGCAGATAAGACCTTGACAATTTGAATTTGGCATGTAAAACTATGACTCTACTCATAAGATTTCAAGAGGTATACCAACCAGTGCCAAACTGCCAATAACCATGTTATCCAGCACCTAACATCCCCAAGAACCATAAAATTATGATAACAAAGTCTTTGAATCTCTTACAAAGTAGAGGATCGGCTCATCTTCCACTAGCCATCTTGACACTTACAAAAATTTCTCAATCAGCTGTCATAGAAACAAGAAGGATCGCCAGCAAAAGCTGTCTGCAACTCTCATGATTTAACAAGTGGAAAAGGGAAGAGAAGATATTGATATAAAGTATAATCTAATCAATATCTCAAAGTGGCTGAATAACTACGTCAAAAATGGGGATGTAAAAGCACCTAGAATTATGCAGCGGAGTACTTGGAAGAAATGTTTAACCTGTTGGGAGAATCATCTACTCCCTTGATAGGTATATAGAAGTATAAGAAAATGTCAAATTTGTTACAAGAAAGGGGTGAATTTCAGAACATTTACCAGAGACAATGACTGACTATAGAGGGAAAAAAAAATAAAAACAGAGTATAAATTTAATCCCTACTTTACCCAAACATACCACTATGATTTTGCCCTGCAATGAACAATATAAGGAATATCACTACAATATATTCAAGTTTCTTACGCAACTTTTATGAGGAAGTCTCAATAAAAGAGAAATTTCAAAGGATCCTATCACTTCTAATGAAGTATAGACTAGCATGATACTTCCGAAGATCACACACAAAAAAGTATCAACACTCGTAGTAAAATTAAATTGTAAGAACAGTTACATGGATAGAACTAAAGGAGTGGCAAAAATAATGAAGTTTCAAAACAAGCACAAATGATTCAGGTAAAAGAAGAGGGACAAAATATTTAACTTGAGGAAACATTTCCTCCCAACACCATGTCCAAGCATACCTCACTTATGACCTCATCAACCAATTCTCTTGCATTTTTAATCTGTTCACTAGTCCCATCTATATGTAATGTCCTTTCTGTTGATGGATCACCTGGTGGTAAGTGCAGCGGGATCACCTGCACAAGAATAACAGATAAAATGTTGTTATAAACTGTATTTGCATGTACAATTACAACAAGGTTCTGAAAATCATAGTGAAGAAACTGCTTAAAAATACATAAAAGATGGTCCAAATTAGCTGAATACAAACAAATACACATCAGTAAATATGAAGTGAAAAAAAACAATAGTAAACTTCAAAGTAAAGATGACAATCATGAATCATGATTCAAACCTGAATACGAGCTCCAGTTCTAGCTTGCATATTTTAATTGTTTCACCACCTTTACCAATCACCAGACCAACCTGAGATAATGCACACATAAAATATTATTTTAAAACAAAGTCAATTAACAAAGCGAGTAATGATTTACTCTGATATACTTTGTTATTCGGTATCTTCATTTCAAAATGTTCACTTCCAGCATGTCCTGTCAATCTTCGAGAAACTATGCCAGAGCCTCCTGCCTCAGCCTGGACAAAGCATAAAGGGTATATTTTGTTCCTTATAATCCGCATCAATGAAATACATCAATTTCACATAGATAAAAAAAAATGTAAGACGAAAAACCTCAGCAAGAACATCATTTATCAACTGCTCAGCCTTGGCTATTTCCTCATCATTACCCGTGAGTTCCACAGGTCTAGTCACAGAATTAGGATCGGCATCCATATCTCGCTGGATCTGAATCTTTGCCCCAGATTGCATTTGAAGATTTAATGGTTTCTCCAGCTTTCCCAATAATAACACCAACCCTATTCTGTGGAATGTCAATCTTTTTGCTTGCGCCATGGTAGCTACCATATGAAACCGGTATAGCAGAAGAAGCAGAGTTTGGCATATGTTTTATATCTGTATTCATTAATTTTTCATTAGACTTCGCATCAACTTCCAAAAATCAGATATATACTATCAGCCGCAAAAGATAATATACTTGAAAGTTCTAAACCCTAAATATAAAACAATGAAGCTTCTGCTATTCACGAAAACGTGTTACGAGGAACAAAGATAAAGGAAATAGAGCTATACCAGAAGAAGCGGACATATATCCCTTATCGTTATCAAAACCACCGCCAGAGCCGTTTCGACACGAGGGCGCTTAGCCTCAGCGCCAACAGAGAGGCGGAGGCAGTAAGGCGAGCGGCAATCTCCTGAGCTCGCTGCTTGGCCATCTCGATTCCGTCAAGCGGTGGAGGCACGCTATTGTAGGAAGGAGGGGGAGCCGAATCCGGGGACGAGAACCCCGTAGGCCTCCGACCAAAGGAAGACGGCGGTCCCTGGTCCTCGTATTGCGCTTGTGGCTGCCTGAATCGGGACCTGTAGAGTAATGTCCTTCGTCAGACATAGTTTGTGAGGAAAGAGATGAAACCCTAGAGGAGTAGAGAGAGTTTGAGTGGGGGAATATCTAACAAGTAAAACTTAGCCGGTGGATTTTATTTGGTGTGTGTGTGTATATGTATCTTGGATATGAATTTATTTTTCCTCTTGTGCATGTGAAATCGATTTATATTTTTATTATCTGAGGCCTGAGGGTAAAAAGAAGGAAAAAAAATCCCCTATTGATCATTGGTTCAACGTGCGCTACCATGGCTTGACTTGGACCAATCAATTTAAAAAGCAAATCATATATAATGAAAATTAACTAATTTTTAGTTAAATATATATTTTAGTAATTAAATTTGCTTTTAAATTTAATTTATTTTTTCAAATAAATAATTGAAATTTACTTTAAATTATTTATTTTTATCCAATTCATATTTAAATTTAACTTATATCATTTTAAATGGATATTTGAACTTTTTTTTATTAATTTGGAGGGAATACAATGTAGTATTTGTTTAAAAATTCTCAATTATTTGACATTGAACACTCATACTCCTAAAAAACATGGTGCTCGAGTCTGAAACTTTAAAAAATAACAACAAATATTTTACTACTGAAATCATTTGGTCCGTGCTTTAACAATAACTTAAATTTTTTAAATTTAACATTTACTATAAATATTTATTTAAACGTATTTAAATAATATATATATATATATATTAATAAAACAAAAATAGTAAATATGAAATGAAAATAAAGACTTCAATCGGTATACACAAAAAATAGGACAATTCAACAGCTTTTTGCTCAATTTCTCGCGCAGTCAAATTCTCATCATTGCAAGTCAAGGGTGGCTCCCTGGCCTATGATTTCCATATAAAGAACACGACGAGCATAAATACCCTCTTTGACTTATATTCTGATGGATTGAATATCTTTCATAAGGAATTGTAGAAAGATGTGATGATTTTTCCAAAAAAAAAAACAAAGAAAAATACATATTATTCCCTCTTGTCTATCGAATCGATCATAACCATTGTCTACATTCTAAAAAATCGTCTAAAAATCAAATTAAACTAATCATAAAAATAGTAAATATGAAATGGAATTTAAAAGTCAAGATTGATCTTCTAACTTTATTTGTTTATCTATTTTTTAAGGAGTTCTTTTTAGACTAGAAAGATCATCACTTTCTTTATTTATGTCTCGGGTTAAAACAAATTATGACAATTCATCCCTTCTACGAATTAGTCAACATTTTTCACAAATTTTACAAACGGAAACCTTTATTTTCATAGTTGTTATTCCTTAAAAAAATTTGAATCCACTTATTGGAAGAAAAACAAATTTCTTGAAATTTTTGAACTTTAATTGTATCTCCCAAAGGAATCTTGAAGTTGAGAAAACTACTTAATTATTTGAATTCTTGTTATGGGGTCTTTAAGTTATACACCCCATGATTGAATGATAAGCACTTACTTCACTTTTGTTGGCTCTATCTCACGTTGATATACGAATAAAACTCTCCTGAAACATAATTTAGAATCAGATCTTCTTTATTTAAAAGAATCTTGAATGAAAGCAGTTAACTAATTAAACCTCCATAAATCATTTTTTTCTTTTATTCCAGGTAAAACTTCCTTAACTTATCAACTACGGTAGGACAAGAGGAGTTTTATTAGACAACCCATACTTTTTTTTTTTTCTTTTTTACAAATGGAAAATTTTGGATACAATTCGTATGTTGGTTACATTATCATATATAACATAAAATTAGATTAAAAAATTTTAAACATTAGAGTATAAATCGAAATCAAACCCAAATACTATAATTATAGTCTAGAGTAAGTGTTTAAAAGTTCTCGATTGACATTTTATATAGATTATGGGTTCAATACTATTAGGAGCAAAATTTCATTTTTTCCTCCGTTAAGTAGTAATTGTTAAAAGAAATACTAAAATTACATAGTCACCGTATCTCTAAGAACAAAGAAATACGTTAGAAAAATTTAAACTATGAACTTAATTGACAATAATTTATTATGTATGTCTAACATTTCGTTTTATGAATTAATTTAATTAAAAATAAATGTATATATATTATAGACATTGGAAGAGTAAATGCAGATTAATTTGTACATCTTGCAGATTAAATTAATTAATTAATTGATTGATATTTGTACACATGCAGATTAATTTTGACCGTAATTAGTCAAACAGTATTATGCATTAATCACCCCCCCCAAAAAAGCAACAAGAAGTTAAAAACGTTTTGGGACAGCAACATTAACATTCTCATGACTCGTGAATTCTGATGAAAATGAAGGGATTACTAAATTAATTAAATAAAACCCTAAAAAATGCTATAGAAAACATACTTGCGGAGAGCAGGTGCCATTTTGTTGTTGAGAGTGCCAGCGAGAATCGCATTCGGATAGGCGAGGACTAGGCCTAAATGACACCGAAGCAATCGAAATCGTAGCGAGAAGCACATGTTTGCATAATTTCGACGCAGCAAGCGAGGCCGAAGATCATGGGCCAGAAGGAGCCGCGACGTGCCCAGTTCAAGAGGTCATCGACCTTGGAGATCACGTACTCAACAGTT